CTTGTAAACAACTTGTTTCCCCCTGATCTGAGTGCCTACAGCTGCTCTGAGCAGGAGACCTTCAGGAGTTCCTGATGGGAGGGGAGTGGTTTCTGGTGGGTTTGGCTGGGGCGTGGCTATCTCTATATAATCTGCCCCTGAACACAATAAGGGGGGCATTCTTGGGGAATTCAAGGATGACCTGTGTCGCTGTCTCTCTGTCTGTGTGTCTCTGTGTATTTTAACCTCCAGCCCCTTGCCCGAAGCTCAGTAACTGGGTGCCAGCACACAGAGCACAGATGCAGGGGAGGGGGGAGGGGGCGGTGCGCAACAAAGAGCACTGGCTGGCTGCTCTTCCAGAGGTCCTGAGTCCAATTCCCAGCAACCACATGGTGGCTCACAACCATCTGTAATGATATCTGGAGCCCTCTTCTGGCGTGTGGGTATACATGGAGGCAGAATATTGTATACATAATAAATAAATATGAAAAATCTTTAAAAAAATAAATGTCTACATTTAAAAAGGAAGTATCATGGACAAGAGACTACACCAAAAAGAAACTAGAAAGTCAAGAACATCACAAGCCCCAAATTATTAGAAGGATGGAAATAGTAGGATAAAGGAAGGAATGAGTGAAACAGAGAATAAAAAATACATTAGATCAATAATACGAGGAACTGCTTTATGAAGTAAAAATGAAATCAATAGAACTTTGTTTAGGATAAGACAAATTGAAACAGGAGATGTTTCAACTGGTGACAAGGACGGAAATACAAAGCATTACAAGAGACTACTGGAACAAGGACAGACCAAAACTCGCGTAATCTAGGGTAAATGATCAGCGTTGGGCACATACAACTTGCCAAGACTGAGCAATAAAGAAATAGAACATTTGAGCACTGGTGAGTCAGGATACTGAATTAATAGTAAAATAGAAGAAGGTCCAGCCAAAGGAAAGCCTAAGACCACTTGGGTTCGGTGACGAGACATTCAAACTAGCCTCTAGGCCAGCAGTTCTTAACCTGTGGGTCACAACCCCTTTGGAAAACTTCTATCTCCAAAAAATTTACTTTACAATTCATAACAGTAGTAAAATTACAGTTATGAAGTAGCAACAAAATAATTTTACAGTTAAGGATAACCCCACGTGAGGAACTGCATTATAGGGTCGCAGCGTTAGGAAGGTTAAGAACCCCTGCTTTAGGCGAACCTGTGAGAGCGTTTCTGGAAGGGCTAACGAACACATTCCCTCAACGAAAGCAGTACTTTCCGGCATGGGTCCAAATTATGTCATGGTTTTGCTGTTTGTTGTTGTTGGAGGAGCTAGGCATTGGAGTGTGTGCAGTCCACCCCTGAAATGCCTCACCCGATGACATTCCCAAAGTGTCTTGTATTATATCCTTTGTGAGCAGTACTTACCAAGAAAACACAGACTGAGGGAAGGGGACTAGAATTAAGTAACAGGACCATCTACATGGCATATCTGGCTGTCTGGCGGTGTATATAGGACAGACGAGGGAGCAGCCAGGAAACCATTGCCACATGGCCCAGCGAGACGGTTCAGTGGGGAAAGGGGCTTGCTGCCAAGTGTGAGAATCTGAGTCTGGTCCCTATAATCTACGTGGTGAAAGAGAGGATGCTTTGCCCACCTACTTCTACATGTGTGCTGTGGTGTGCAAACACCATCACATGTACATGATGAAACATGTACAGATGAAACAAATATACTCTTAAAAAGTAGATGTGTTTTCAAACATAAACAACATCTGTGAGCATCTTTAGTAGAAAGGGATTATGACATTTCATTTAACCCCCCAAAATATACCTATGCTTTCAAAATTATCATCTACAAGGTTTTGGAGAAGAAACACATTTCTTCCCATGGAAATTACCATAGTGTCTTAAAATATGTAAACATGTCCTAGATATATCAGAGAAATGTTTGTGAAATATCACACATGTTCCAGGTTTATCCTCATGATTATGTTTTTGCATGCATGTATGCCTTTTATGTACATGGGTGTATACATGGTTTAAAATGCTGTGACTCTAGACACCAGACACGGAATGTCAGGGCTCTGCTCTGAGTATGCACGACTCCTTGTTTGAATGACTAAGACACTGATGATTTTAATTCATTTTTCAGAAATGCAACATGCATTTTTTGGTGCTGGCAAGTAAAAAATAAGTGTGGCTTTTTTTTTTTTTTGGAAAACGATTGTGATGGCCTAGACAAGAAATAATTGCCGCATTCAATAGAGATTTTATTTACTAATATTGCACTTGAGCAGTAAAGAGGAATCTCTTTGATTGTAACAAAACTGAAGTCTCAAAAAATGTGCAAATTTGCCTCCTATTCTAAACCACCTCTGTGCGCACTCCTGACGGCTCTTCAGATGAACGCTGTACCAATGCAATGTAGAGATCACAGGGCTTCTACATGCTGATACCGCAGGACAGCTGGAGTTAGTGGGAGGGATGGGAGCCTTTATACTGAACTCCACAATCATCGGAGGAAAACATACCCCACACAGAAATGGACTGGATTTGATGTAAAAATACGTATGCACAGAAACATTAGTAAAATTTAGGCATGCTAATTTTTCTCTCTTACAGGTTTGATACTGAATCAGGGTGGAGGGTTGACTGCCATTTCACCTTCTGGGACTGAAGTCTCGTGTTTAGTGAGGTGATACTCTGAAGGCACAAAGCACTTACTACTCTCTGGAGCCCTAGAATTTTCTTTTCAGGGAACTTTGGAATCTGAAGTCAGCATGCCTTCCTTCCCATGGACAGCCTTGGCAATGGCAGGCTAGATAAGGGGTGGGGCTCAGGAAGGCTCTCTGGAGACCGGGTAAATGACACCCAGGTTGGCACTAGTGTAGTCATCTGACCACACAGGTGTCTCGAGGCCTTTCTTTCCCTCACCTGACCTTTGGTATCACAAAGCTACCAGAACCAGGGTGTTGCATAAGGGAAGCCCTATCTCCTCTGCAAACAGAGTTATTTGATTAGAAACTCCATGACAGACCAGACTAGACATTGGTTTCTATGGGACATGTTCAACATACAGTCACCATGAATAAACACTACGGAGCACAAAGCTTTGGCCCTAAGCTCTTTGGGGAAGGTTTGTGTTTCAGTTCGGACTTTGTTTAATCGAGCAAATGACTATTAAGAGAACATTCGGAGTTGTTTGTTGTCAGATGGTGTAGGCAGTTGTTACTGCAGGCAGTTTGCAAAGCACATGGCTTTCCGGGTTCATTCTCTCTTAGTTTGCTCATTTATTCGACAGCATTCAGCTACCTGCTCAGGTGTGGCAAAAATGTTCCAGAAAATTCCATCCCTCTGTCTTTGTGGCCTGTGACTCAGTGTGGAATGTCTTAAGTGAGAAACATGCTAAGGGGAGGCCTGTTAAAATCCTTAAGGCTGGAGAAGTTGCTTTGAGGGAGAAGAGGGGACAGGCTGAGAGGAGGACTGGCTGGGGATGTGCCAACACTGCTTTCATGGAATTCTGCCCCTGCATTGTTTTCGTGTTTCCTTTGCCAAACTTTCTAGGTATACACACACACACACACACACACACACACACACACACACACACACTAAAATAAATCTTTATAGGCCCTGGAGAGATGGCTCAGGTATTAAGAGTGTTGACTTCTCTTCTAGGGGACCCACGTTCAGTCCCACTACCTACATGATGGTTAACAACAACCTATAAGTTTCAGAGGATCTGATGCCTTCTTCTGGCCTCCATAGACACTGCATACATGTGGTGCACAGACATACATGTGGGCCAAACACGCATACACATAAAATAAAAATAAACAAATCTTAGAAGAAATTTGATTTGGTTTTAACCAACTGCCCCAAACTGAAAACATCCCAGACGTCTTCTCTCAGATTTCTTCTTAGCATAAGTTTCCAAAACACTTTCCCCACAGCTTTTTATTTTTTCTCTTTGTCTTAATCATTCTTCTATTGCTGTGAAGAGACGCCAGGACAACTCTTACAAAAGGAGGTATTTAATTGGGGCGGCTTACCATTTCAGAGGTATAGGTCCATTATCATCATGGCAGGGAGCATGGAGCCGAGAGTTCTACATCCTGATTCCCTGGCCAAGGAGATGGGGATCAACCATCACTCTTATTTATAACTGCCTTCAATGATTGGCTCACTGACCAATCCTCTGTGCTCTTAGCAATATATACAATTCCTTTCAATTCTCATTTGTTCCTTGTACAAGATATTCTTGAGAAATAATTGAGTAGTTTGGACTGTCAACAGAAGCCTTCCCTTGCTTTTCTAAGGAGAATTGCTTTCTTATGATGGCCTCTCCTTTTCTGTGTTTGGGAGGAGGAAAAGGTACCAGAAAAGCCACGTGTGCTGGTTCATGTGGTCATTCAAGTCTGCACGTCAAACTGTACACTAAGAAGTAGATGTGAGCCTACAGTAAAAGACAAATCCTGTGTGTTCTTTATCATGGGCAGAACCTAAGCTCCAAAGGTCAGATATGTGTGTGTGGGGTCAGTAATGCCAATGGAAGCAGCAAGTCTAGAAAGGGGTCTTTGTAAAGGTTCAAAAAGATGTTCTGGGGGTAAGAGGTGGGAAGACAGGAGAGCACATGAAATGCTAAAGTAGAAGTTGGAAAAGGAAGGGAAATGGGAGGCGTGGGAGAGCAGGAGCTACCAAAGCAAAGCACATGCGTAAATAAAGTAGTAAGCTAACTTTCAAATATAATTAGTTCTTTTTTTTTAAGATGGTGGTTCTGGGTGGTTCATGAGCACACCAGTCAAGAACATTCCACATCAAGCACTTTCTCATCTTCCCACGAACACCTTGGAACACAACCTACTCTAACAACCCAGGCTTATCTGTGATTAAAATTAGAAATATGTCCTTGGAACCTCTCCCTTCTCCTGCCGCTTTTCCATGACACTGCTTAGAAAGATAAGGCTCTCCTATAAGAGGACATCTCAGCTTTCCCCTGTTGTCCGTGGAACCTGACGGATCCGCCATGGTGAGTCAGGAACACGAGTTTGAGACTGATTCGTTAGATTGCCCCCATTTCCCCACAAGTCTGAGTGAAAGTGATTATGTCAATGTTTTGAAACCTGAGTTCTCCAGACTCAGCCATGTTTTCACTTCTGTGCAGATGCTGCCGCTGTGGACGTTCGCTGTGCTCCTGGGAGCAGTAGCTGGTAAGCAAAGATGTGTGGAGACGGGAGAGGCTCACTGTGCGGTTCTTCCCCGATGACCATGACAGCTAGGTTCAGGCCATGATGAGGATGAGGAGTCAAGTGAGTTTGATGGAATAAGAACACAAGCACTTAGGTTATGTTGCGGGATAAAACCCCCATGACCTGTCCAAATGGATCACAAACACACAAGTAAATCAGATGAGCATAAATGGGTAATATATTCATTTTTAATCTTTCTCAAAAATATTTGGATAAACAATTGAATTTTAACATTAAAATTTATGATCAAAGACCCAACTTGCATTCTAACTTGCATTCAAGGAAAGGGGCTCAAATTCTCTTTTCATCAACTAACTCTATGACTCTAAGAATAATCCATAATCCTTACCCCTTCTGAGCTTTGGTATCTTGTTATGTGAAACATAGATAATGAAATCTCTCAGCATTAGAGCTATGCTTAAGATAAAAGAATCGTCTTGTCCAGAGTAAGATTTAGAGAAAGCATCCCCCACAGCTCCCGTTTCTCTTACTCTGTCGTCAATCTGGTCTTAGTACTGCTCTAGACCCCTCTAGACCAGCAAGTCAGCCTACAGCTGTGTTACACCCTAGATGGTTTGTCTGTGAGTGCTTTCTTCATCGCAAGACCTAGATTAGTCCTCAAACATTTCAGCCAAGATGGAGACACTCAGTTTGGTTCTTGCTCGGAACTTAGCGTCAAATGGTGGCTACTGAGAATTTAGAGCCAACATACACACAGTGCCCATCAGGAACTGGGGCCCAAGGCACCTCTGTTTCTGGGCATCAGTGGTCAAACAATTGGGTTGAGAAGTTGAAATGAGTCCCTCGTTGGGAGCACCATGGTCCCAGATGTGAGGCTGTTTGCAGCAGAGGCACTGTCCCCTTAGGCTGTTCATGAGTGTGCGCAGTGGGGCATTTGGGGAAGCAGAGGAAGAAAATCTGCCACAAGATGAAACTTAACTCATATTTTACCTGAGAGACTATTAAAAGAACATTCTGGCTAAACTAACTACTTGACACACTGGGTGACTTTAGGACGAGAAGTCTGCTATGATAGACTCGGCTGCTTCACTGACGATTCTCCATATGGAGGGACTTTGGAAAGACCTCTCAAAGTGTTACCCTGGTCTCCGAACCTTGTCAACACCCGCTTCCTCCTGTACACTAACGAGAACCCCAACAGTTACCAAGTAAGAGATTTCCTGCATCTTTAGGACTTGAGTCCAACTCTTTGTAATAGCAGATTTTATTTAGATGTGTTCTGTGCTTCCATAGAGAGTACTACAGTGAATTATTTAGAATTTGATGGTTGCCTGGCTCACAGATGTAGAAGGGGACTCTAGGATCAAAGGTGTAGACCCTCAAAGCCCCTGGCTGAGGGATTCCACAGCATGGTACAGTGAGTGGTACAGTGAGCCGTGCCACGTGGAGGGAAAGCGTGGGAGAGATGAGGAAGGGTAGAGAGGCATCTCCTAAGGAGCTCTACTCCTACAATAACCACCCCACTCTTACAAAGCTAGCAACTACCTACTCATGAAAGCAGAGTCCTCACGACCTAACCACCCATGAAGAGCCCTCATTCTTAACATCATGTCAGTGATAATTAAATTTTCAGCGTTTTAGAGGTGACATTAAAAGCCTCCTATATCAATAATTCCATCCTAACTTCCCCAAATCCACATCCTTCCATACACAACATATTTTTCTCCCCAGTAGCCACATCTTAACACATCACTGCAAACCTTCAGTCCTGAAGCTCAAAGCTTTGTCAGGACCAGATGTAGATAAGACCCAAGGCATGACTCATCCTCAGACAGTCCTGAGTCCGTGTGAGTAGAACAAGATGTCTGCTTTCAGAATATACTTATGGTACAGGCATAGAGCAGACATTTCTGTTCCAGATGGAAGAAACGTCCCAGAAAAGAGTATCCACCTCCAAGTAAATGCAAACCAAGCAGGGATAATAGCATTAAACTCAAAAATAACTTTTTGTTTTACAAACAACCTCCAGAATATCACTGTTTTGAGGGCTCGGTCCACACAGCAGCTCTCAGAGGCTTGACCCTCACACCTACAGAGTGTCTGAGCTGATTCCAGCATGCTGCCAGTGCTGAGGGCTCGGGGACCCCACCAGGCACTGCCCTAGTGGTTCCCTGTAGGGTTCTACCTCATCTCATAGTCTGGCTCTGTCTCCAGGCTATCCACAAATGTCTTGCACATCCAGATGAAAGTTGATGCCTCCCAGCCCTTGCATTCTGCAGGCCTGAGTAGAATAACGCATATATCCCAGATGTACTGGGTGTTTCCTCTAGCGGGGTGGCCTGAATCACACTTGAGCCCTCTGAGACTGAGCACAGCTTCTATCAGCAGGAGCATGGATAATGGTCCAGGTCTACCCTTTATGGAGATCTTGTTCTAGGAAAGGAGACACAGCCTCCAAGATCTTGGGACTCTTTCTGCTGCCATGCTAATGCATGTCACCTGGCTTCCCCTTTGAAAAGCTGTCACTGGCTTAAGCCTGCCCTGCTCTGCTAAAGCCACCGTTTCACTCCTTACATGCCCAGGATGCCAGTTTTCCAGACTCTCTCTTTTGCTTCTCTTTCTGTTATAACTTACACCTTGAAATAATTTTTCTTCCACCTGCCTATACAGTGAAAAGTATCCACACAGAAGCCTGAATACTTTGCTTCCTTGGTATCTCATCTGCCAAATAGTCTTGCACTTTTAAGTTCTGTGTTTTATAAAGTCCTCAAACATGAACACCATTCAGCTAAGTTCTTTGTAACTATAAAATGAAAATGGCCTTTTCTGCCTTCTGCTCTTCAGTTCTATTCGATGCCTCATGAAAATGACCTTTCGGTCCACTTTTCTATCCGCACACTGATCGTAATCACTTTAGAAGTCTTTGAAAATAATCATAAACAATCATATCTCCACCACGGCCATTACCTTCTTTCAGAATCCTCCCTAATCCTGTCCTGGTGGTCGGTCCACTCATGGAGAGTGCTCCCTAATCCTGTCCTGGTGGTCGGTCCACTCATGGAGAGTGCTCGCTAACACTGCTCGATGTTCCATTCATGCTAAAATGGGATTATTCTGAGTTTGCTCCTCTGTACCAAGTACTCTGCACTGTCTATTAAAGCAGAACCCACATCTGGGGGTGTTTATTATGACAGCCCTACTCCTGGGACCAATTTCCTGTCTTAGTCATTTTTGGAAGGGGAAGGAGAGTGGTTTAATAGTATCATTAATTTGGTAAATTATAAAATATATACATTCATTTGCATCAAAGTCTGGGGTCTAGGGCTTTTAAAATTCACAGTGTAACCTGGTGAAAGTCTTCCTGTTGTATCATGAAATAGAAGGAGGAGGGAGTGAGGGAGGGGGAGGGAAGGATGGGAAGAAATGGGGTGACGTATCCTTTTATCAGGAGCTCAGCCCCACAATAACTAAACAACCCTACAAAGTTCACATCGTTTCACTCAAAAGAGCCGTGTGGTTGCCTGAGGGCTCTGCCTCATCCAGCTATCACCGTGGCAAGGGAAGGTCGCGTTTCGAAAGGAATATTTACACCATAGTAGAAAACACATACTCTAGTCTTCTCGGGATGATTAGTCAGATGGTGAAACCTACGCCTTCATAGACTTCCAGGGAACGTCTACTTTTTTAACATGTAAACATTTATAAATGTTTTTAATGCTGCTATTAGCTTTCATATTGTTTCATATTTCCTATTATTATATATAGCACATATATAGCACCTATATCCTGAGCATCTAGATTCATGGCATATGCACGTGTGAGTATATACACCATACAGACACACGCTCTCATTATGTGCAGAAAAGATGCTCATCATCAATTATTATAAAGGCTATATGATCTCAAAGCTGCACAGTGTTGGGGTTGACTTTTAGGTGGTTCTGTAGTTTAGCTATAACGTGAGAATTCTTATTTCTAAGGATCTCAAATCCCAATAGTCCCTGCCTACCCACCACTTACTAGAAGAACTTGACCTCAAATACTTTGGCTAACAGGTGATTACCGCAGATGCATCAAAAATCAGGAGCTCCAATTTCAAAACAAACAGAAAAACCCACTTAGTCGTTCATGGATTCACAGACAAGGGGGAAGACAACTGGCTGTCGGATATCTGCAAGGTGAGGGCGGGAACTCTCCCTGAGATGGGCAGTCGCAGAAGCAAACTGCCCCTGTACCTGCGAGGAACGGTCGCCACAGCACAGGGAGGCCTCTGAGGCCTGCTGAGCCTGGACTGTCACGGGAGAGGGAGGCGGTGGTGGTGGTGGATGCAGCAGCTCTGGGGCAATGGGGACCATGAAGTTGGTGGGTGGCCTTTGATGACACAAATGGGGACATTTCTGGCTTTAACAGGAGAAGCTGCCACAAGTGCTTCCCAGTCAATCACAGAGCCCTTGTTCTCTGGCCTTAAATTTCCACATGAAGAGCTAAGGGACTCCATTCACTCAAACTCCTTTTGGTTTTCACTAGGTGCCCTGAGGTCCTCTGGTAGCCATTTTTAGCAATACTGTGAGGGTTTTCATGTCTGGCTTTGATGTTTTTGTGGAAATGATTCTACTTTGTTTCATCTTTGGCTGTGTTCCCAGTCATAATGGACACTGAAAAGAGAAAACCAAATAGAATAAATTTCCTTAGTAATGAAGGAACATTATTGCTGATTCAGTTATCCATGGACTCTGGTAGACATACAGCATCTGGTGCTCTCCTGTGGAAGAGTTTTCTAGTAAGGCACAGTGGACTTCTAAGACATGGGCGTGCTCTAATGAGGTAAATCACTGTGCCACGTCTACATTTTTAAAATAATAAAAAAAAAGTCTATGCATCTGCTGCAGTTGAAATACCAAGAATGCAGTTCCCACAGGGGCCATGCCTCAGTCTGGCTCAGTGCTAGATTTGAGGAAGAATTCTATATCCATTACCAACTAAGTGTTCTGGTCATAACTTTTGGACTAAAAGATGTTTTGCATGACCTTGTTCAGGTCGAGGAGAGCGTTTACTTGGTCTTTGAGTGTGTTAGTAACCAATCGAGGTCCTGGATTGTTTACATCCTTCTTGTGTGCCTTTCCTGCCAGAACATACTCCAAGTGGAAAATGCAAACTGCATCTGTGTGGACTGGAAAGGCGGCTCTCGAACTGGGTACACTCAGGCTACACAGAACGTGCAAATCGTCGGTGCGGAGATCGCGTATTTGGTTAAGGCCCTCCAGGTGAGTGCTTTCTGCTTCCTGAAAAAGCCAGGCCCATTGCTTCCCTCAACTCTCTTACCAAAAGAAAACTCTAGACATGAGCATTTATTTTATGTTTCAACATATTTAGCTGATATATAAAAATCGAATTTGTATTTGATGAGCACCATGTAGCGTTTTCATGCAATTTATACTTTGTCGTGTTCAAATCAGGATAAATACATGGGTCCAAAGGTGAAGTCATCTGTTATCATGCCTAGTTTTGGAAATTTATTTACATTTTGTATTCTCCACTCACTTCACTGTACAATACCACCGCAGAGGTTCTTATTGGCTTATTGCTTAGTGTCCATTGATGGGCCATTTCCCACTTCTCTCTACTGTTAGGCTTCCTAGCCTCTAGCAATCACAATCCCACCCCCTCAGTTTCTACAAGATCATCATTCTTCTGGCCCACCATTGGTGAGATCATGTGGAATCTATCTTTCTATGCCTGACTTGGCATGGCTCTATCTGTGTTCTTGCAAATGACAGAATGTCACCCTTGTCGTGACAAGTCATAGTCTATTGTGTATACATGCCATACACACCATGTTTTTTATTTATCCGTCAGTTGATGGACACTTAGGATGCTTCCATTTCTTGACTGTTATGAATAATGCTTCATGAACATTAGAAGTGCAGGCGTCTTTCCCCATGCTCAGCAGTAGGGTTGTTGGGTCATGTGATATTTCTGTTTCACTTTCTGAGGACTCTCCAAGGTGCTTTCCACAATGATCATGCCATCAGTCTCCCTCTGTAGTGTACGAGGGTTCTTTTCCTATACACTCTTGACAGCATGGACTATCTTTAGTTTTTCTCCCACTAACTAGTCTCTTTTATTTTTAAAGTTTAATTTATTTATTACATATGAAGTGTTTTGCCTGCATATATGCCTACAAGCCAGAAGAGGGCACTAGATCTCATTACAAATGGTTGTGAGTCACTATGTCATTGCTGGGAGTTGAACTCAGGACCTCCAGAAGAGCAGCCTGTGCTCTTAACCTCTGAGACATCTCTGCAGCCACCACCCCCCAACTAGCTATTTTTACTGGAGTTAGGTGATAGCTCACCATAGTCTTGATTTGTATTTTGCTGACAAGAGATGATGTAGAACACTTTTTCATATGGCCGTTGGCTATCTATACCTCTTTTAAGAAATATCTGTTTTGGTATATTGCCCATTTATGAAATCAGACCATTCCTATTTTTGCTATTGAATTATTTGAGCACCTTTTCTTCATTGGCTATTATCTTCTGGTTGATTTTGCAGTTTGTAAATAATTTCTCTCATTCTGTAGGTCTCTTCACAATGTGCCAGGGAGAGACTTTTAAACTTGATATAACCCATTTGTCACTTTTGCTTTTGCTTTCTGTGATTTGGGGGCCATCTCAAAAGTAGTTCTTGCTCAGACCACTACCCTGAAGCTAGTACAACAATTGACGAAGACATTCCTGTGCTGAGACATGCCCTTCCACCGGGTTGGAAACAAAGATGCAAAGCTATCTAGATTTGGGTTCACCTACAAACCTCTTCTCAGAAAGTTGTTTATTTATGTATTTATTTAAGAGAGTTTGCATAAACAGTGTGGAGGTTGTTTCTAGTGTATTTTAACAAATTCAATTTGTTCTGGTTTTATTGGTTATTAGCATGATAGTGCTGATCTCAAGATTAAGCTAGCTGCATATTTTAGAAAAGCACAAAGATTTGAAGCTAACCTGACTGGGTAACCTAAAACAGAAAATGTTAAACTTGATTTATTGGTTCTTTCGCTGTACATTTCTAGTTCAATTCTGGCTTCATTGTCTCTGGGTAACAAACATCATTTACTTGTTTTCATTTTTATCACGATGGAGCAAAAGACAGACCGATTTTTACCAGCTTAAAGTCTAAATTCATTTCCATTTTTATTGTAATAGTCTGAAAATTGAAAATAAAATTATTTGAGAGGGCAGAATGTCTAAAATTGCAGTTTAGAGAAGTTCTCTGTGTGGACCTGAATTCTGCAATAGTTGACAATGTGCTACTGGAGACACTGTTCTGTGGGGCAGCTTTTCTAGGCTGAATCTGCCTACCTCAGTTCTCACTTAGTTACTTAGGCTAAGTCTAGGAACCAAGTTAAGATGATATGGATTGATGGGAGAAATATCTGTAATTTTTATTAGTTTTTGCATGTACTTGGAGTCACAAGAGAAAAGATTGAAATAGATAGCAAAATAATAGAAAACTTTCACGATATTTTAACAAAGTATGAAAATTTTTGTGAAGAAATAGCAAGACAGAAGGATCTTGGGCAGGGGTGGTAAATTCTGGAAGGACCAGGAAGAGCTGTATGGAGGGTGGTAAGGCCGGTAAGGATGGGGTGACCTTAGCCAATTTGCACATCTCCCCTACAGCATGAATTTGGGGTCCCTGGTGATTTGTACAAGGACAACATCTTTCACAGGAACTTCTAAGGGCAGCATAGGATATCCCCATGAACAAGGACCTCAGATGCTTGTGTCAAAGAGGTTATTTGGCATGGCAGCATACCTCAGTTTTGAGTCCCGAAGCTTTATCTTCAGAATGTTTTGCTACTAAAGGCCTACTTGGCAACTCTTTGGAGAGTTGAGTTCAAGGTCACGAAATGAGATTCACCAAAAGAAAGGAGGGGCATAGACTGAACAAGGAGAAGAGAAGGAATCCTAGTACAACCTTCCACATGTAACTGATCTCTTGGCCCTCAGACCCAGCAGGTCAATTCAGCAATGCGGCCAAGCTTCTCTTGGGAGGTGGAGCTTCAGGCTGACTCATTATCATTGGGTCTCTGTGTGGTACCAACACCAAGATTGCAAATAAATGACATTCCTATGGAAACAAAATAAATACAAAAGCTAATAATGAGAGAAGCATTTAAGTCACTTCCTGAATTTGAAGGGTAGCCAGATGATAATTTTTTTGAGGTGCTGGGTTCAAAACATCTCCAGCTGAAGCAATGGTGGATCAGAGAAACCTAATAGATTCAATTTCTAACTTAAATACCACCTAGCTTCCATTTCCAGGGCTTCAAGAAAAACACCGTTGGTTGATTTCCAACCACGATCCCAAGTCAGAAAACCATGAAGAAAATGGAATGTTAGTTTATGACATGCAATCAGGTATTAGAAGAAAGTTAGAGAATTCGGAATTTAATCTAGTTTATGGCTAAATAATGAAATCTAAAAACAAACCAAAACATCACCCAACACTGAGCTAGAATGTAATATCTATGTGTTACAGGCATAGATATTACATATTACATTTATTCTAATATTACATATTAGAATTTTTTTCTAAGCATGCTTCCCCTACTTAGCAAAGAATCATAGTGAGACTCATTTGTTGTCAAAACAAGATTAGTCTTGTTATACTTGGCTTCATTATTTGATAAATACATAGGAAACAACAACTGACTCTTTCTAAACTGTTCATTGGAATTTTATTATGTCTGTGCACACTTTGTATGTGTGGTCTCCTCAGAAGCTAGAAGCTGAGTCCCATGGGATGGGAGGTATAGGTGGCTATAGGTCACCATGTTCATCCCAGGTATCTGGAAGGACAAAAGTGTTATTATCCACTGAGCCATCTCTTCAGGCCCTTGTCAGAATTTTTTTAGAAGAAATCTTATTTTTGACATTAAAAGGCTTTTAAGACTAGGAAGCTAAGTGAAGCTCCCAGTGCTGAAGTACACTGAATGAGGTTGTCTCTCTTCAAGGTCTCTGCCATAACTTTAAGATCCTGGGCTATCCAGGACGTGGCCTTTGATTTGCCTTGATGCTAGAAACACTATAGTGGAAATATGTATTCAAGATTCCTGGGCAGCTTTTCCTAAGAGCAGTGAGCATTCTCATAGAATCCATAAAGCCATCAATGGCCATGTCAGGAAATCTGTATTCTGGTTAAGGCCTTTGTCACATTACCATTGTTACAAAATTTGTCCTATTTCAAGGATAACAGATTCTTAATGAACTTACACAAATAACTGTGTTACCATAGAAACAAGAATTTGCACAAAATAGTGTCTGAACCACGGAGGGATCAGTTAACAGGAAAAAAATTGTTTTATTGTTGTTCACATAATATTCTTTACCAAAATTGCTATAGGATATAGATAACATTAAAAGCTTTCAATTAGAAAATCAAAATATAAAAAGCATCAATAATGCTTCCAAAATGCTTCATTGAAAAGTCATTTTTCATCTGTCTCAGACCATATAAGCCATTAAGTTTCCTGCTTTGTGTGGAAGTAGAAGTATCTAGACCCTCTTTGGAATTTTGGAAATTCTTAGAAAATACCATATGATATTAAAGTTTCTCCATAAGCCTATTTTTAAAAGCACTTGTTCAGTTTTTTTTCCATAAATTTCCAAAGCCTTCAGAGAAGAACTGGCATCACACAGCAAATGTCTGTAGAGAAGTGTACTCAGTACAAAAGCATGGCCACCAAAGAAACATGTCTTTCCAGGGGTGGGTGCATGCCTTATATGCAGAGACAGGTGAGAAAGACACACACATGGAGGGGAGAGAGACTCACAGAGGAGAGAGAGAGGCAGGAGAGAGATACACAGAGGGGAAAGAGACACACAGAGAGGGGGGAGAGACACACACAGAGGAGAGAGGGAGAGGGACAGGAAAGACACACAGAGAGCAGAGAGAGACACAGAGAGAAGGAGAGAGACGCAGAGGGGAGACAGTGGCAGGAGAGAGAGACACAGAGAGGGAAGAGAGAGACAGGAAAGACACACAGAGAGCAGAGAAAAACACAGAGGTGAGAGAGAAGCAGGAGACAGAGACACACAAGAGAGAAGAGAGGCAGGAGAAACCCAGAGCGACAGACATCTTAAATAACAGTCTGATTGCTTCCCTCCCTGACAGTCCGACTTTGGCTATTCTCCATCCAGCGTTCACATCATCGGCCACAGTCTGGGCTCCCATGTTGCTGGCGAAGCTGGAAAGAGGTTGAATGGGGCCATTGGACGAATCACAGGTTGGTAGCAACAACAGAAGCTGCAATATCAGAGCACATGTGGCCTCTGTGAGACCCAAAAGGAAGGCCAGGAGGGGAATCTGGAGCAGAGTCCTCTCCAGCTAGGGTGGCATGATCAGAAGTCAGGCTGGGTGACTTTGTGATTGACATTGGATCTTGGGTTGCAGTATCCTCTTTCAAATACACAGGTACCGCACCAAGAGTGAGGCTCACGGAGCAGAGCCATTGTTCCATTATGTCTTCCATGCTCAGATCTTCACGAAAGATGAGGTTCCCAAACAGAATAAATGTCACAGGCAGTGGAGTCTAACCCGTCACTAACATACATGAAGCTCCCTGAATTCTGTTTCAGTACGGACGGATGATGACCTTGAGTCTCGTCAATGGCAAAGCAGAGCCCCAGGGAAGGGACCACCCCGTCTCTTCTGGGTGCTTATAACTGTATGTAAAGGGCCTTTGGTGCGAGTTGACTATTGAGGTGACCTCATGAGAAAGACATCATGCTGGATCCAAGACATGGCCACAACAGGGGACAACTGATTTCCTCCTCTGCCTTCCAACTTTCTGTGTTGGCCTGGCAATTCTTTTGAAAACTTGTAAAGTGTGTGTGTGTGTGTGTGTGTGTGTGTGTGTGTGTGTGTTTGTATGAATCATCCATGTTTGTTCAAAGACCAGATATGTTTGGTGTCTTCTCTCCCCGACCCCATAAGATAAGGTTTCATTATGCATCCTTGACTGGCCTGGAAATTGCTAGATAGACCAGGATGGTGGGGAACACACAGAAATCTGCCTGCCTCTGTTGCCAGAGTGCTGGGATTGAAGGCATATGCTATTATAGTTTTAGAGACAGGAGGTCACCAATTGGCTAGACTGGATAGCTGATGAGCTCTGGGGATCCTTTGGCCTTCATACCCCCTGTCCTGGGGTTATAGAAATGGGGTGCTGCCCCTGACTTTTATGTGGATGTTGGGGAGCATAACTCATGCTTAAATGACCAAGATTTCATTTTCTGAACCATCTCCTTGGCCCCTCTCATTTTTTATACGTGGAAAAAGTTAGTTACATTAAATTGATGGGTGTTATGTCAAATTTCTATTAATTTGATAAAAAAAGAAATTCTTCCAGAATGTTCTTTCCTATTGCTCAGTGAGGAGCTATGACATTCTGGGAGCTTACAGTCTGTTGGGAGCTTTATAGTCCATTGTCTCTCATGGTCAACCGCTTCTCTGCTGCCAGGGACCAGGATTCTGTCCGGACTAAACATCCTTAAGTAGAGACAAATTCACTTCCAAACAAATAGAAAACAAGCTAAAGGCAGCTTCCTCTTCAGAAGGCTGTGGGTGAGGAAGATGTGGTCTCTTTCTCCCATGGGTAATTTGGGATTACAGCCAGTGCTTACGTTACAGTCTGGAACTAATGAAGAAAGTTGGGTGTGCTTGAAAACCAACACAATTTACAACACAGCGTATTTGCTTTAGGACTGGACCCAGCTGAACCCTACTTTCAGAATACACCCGAAGTTGTCCGACTGGACCCTAGTGATGCCCAGTTTGTGGATGCCATTCACACAGATGCTGCCCCCATGATTCCCAACATGGGTGAGTTCTAAAACATGCCTGCCCAGATGTTGGGCAGATGCCTTACATTAGTCAACTATGTCTTAAGGCATCAATAAGTAACATGAACCTCTCCTTTTAAAAATTTCTTCAGGATTAGGAATGAGCCAAACAGTGGGTCACTTAGATTTCTTCCCAAATGGAGGAAAGGAGATGCCCGGCTGCCAGAAGAATGTGCTCTCTCAGATTGTTGACATGGATGGAATCTGGGAAGGTAAACTCATCATGGAGACCGAGATTTTTCACCAGGGGACAGACAACTGTGGTCCACGTTGTTAGACTTGCTGGTACCATGTGCTATGCCGCCTCTAATTTTATACAACAGAGGCCTCTAACTACATCCCTTAGATACAGGCTTCCACAGGGACAAGCCGGCATCAGGGACTTTGAGAAATATAGTTATTATCAGTAAGTATCTCAAGAGCCTGACTCAGGGGGGTTGGAGTGACTTAATGGGTAAGCACACATATTGCTCTTGCAGAGGACCTGTGTTCAGTTCCCAGCACCCACACCACTGATGCTCACAACCATCTCTAACTCCAGGTCCAGGGGTATCAGGGGTATCCATAACCTCTGACCTCCACCACTCATTTCTCTCTCTCTCTCTCTCTCTCTCTCTCTCTCTCTCTCTCTCTCTCACGCACACACACACACACACACACACACACAATTTAAAAAGTAACAAAAAATTTAAACATTTTCTAAAGAACCTAATTCAGGGAACATGTTTCTAAACTACCTTTATGTCTATCCAGACCTTTACTTTCCCATTTTATGTAACAACATTCAATTATTTGAATATTAAGTAGTGCTGATCTTCAGAGTGCATGTCATGAATACTCTTCATAAATTGTTTTATGCATCACACCCTTTAGAGAAGCCTAGTTCATGCCCTATATCTTCATCCAAGTGGTAATTTTTAGAAAAACAAAATCTGTCATTGATATCATGTCTGACTTTACAGGGAGTCGTGACTTTGTGGCCTGTAATCATTTGAGAAGTTACAAGTATTATACAGACAGCATTGTCAACCCCACTGGCTTCGCTGGGTTCTCTTGCGCCTCGTACAATGATTTCACATCGGTAAGCAGCTTTCAATGAAAGGCCAGTGTGGTTCACTGCCCGTGACGTCACTCAGTGCATGCTGTGCTATCATATTATACCCACCCTTAATGATAGGGATACACACCTTGAAGTGATCAAGGACTTCAGAGAATTCAGCTCAAAGATGCCATGTCCTGTGTACATGACAGGTATGAGCATTTGTTTTAGAAGTCATCCTAAGTAAAGGAAAGAGCCTGCAGACATTTGAGCTGTGTTGACAGCACATGATGAGCATGGAAAATTATCTTTGACTCCTGACTTTTTAAATTGTGAAGTTATGGCCATGCGGAGATTCTTGGAATAGTTGGTGTCATCAAATCTTGGTCGTTTTTTTTAACTTATTATTTAGATACCAAGGTTGGATTCTTACCTGTTCTAGAATGTGCCAAGCCTAGTTTGCCTGGGTGCTACTAGTGAGATTGACTTTTCTTCCCACACTATTTTTTTTTCAAATAAATATCTCTAACCTGTGTAATTTAATAAAGAAAACTTTAAGTGGGTGTACCAAAGATCAAGGCAGTCAAAATGACCAAGAGGTGTAGCCTGGTGGTCAAAGAAGAGATGAAATTTAGCTCTCGCTGTTCAATGACTGAAGAGCTCCAGAAGGCGTATCACTTAGTCCCTCCTTTTGAGACATTCCTTCATCTGCATATGCAAATAATAATGGCAATCTCAACATATTGGAGAGGAATGCTAATGAGATGATTTATTTTAATGACCCTCAAGCAGAAGTGGTGGTAAATGATGGCCCAGGAAATGCTGGTTATCATGAGAAAATGGTGCTGATTCTAATTCACAGTATAAGTACGGTAAGGACATACAGAGACTGGAAACACTCTTCTGATACCCGAGGACGGACAAGAGAACACAGACGAGTAAAATCTTGGGCGTTACTGGTTAGTGCAGGGGCAGATCCAATAGCATAACAGCCCTTTCAGAGGCCACTGGGCACTTACATAAAATAATGTCTGTGTCTCACAGATGTCTCTGCATCTAAGAGGTTGGTACGGGGTCACATCACTGTAGTGGTGACTTAGTGTGTGATCTATATAGACAGTGACCTTGGGTACACAGTAGAACATCGGTACACGGTCTCTTGGCAACTTTGGGCTCTGAGCCATATCCCTGTCTGTTTTGTCTTTATGCTCTTGGCGGTTGGAGATGAAGTCTAGCACCTGCCTACTCTTCTGGCTCTGTAAATTCCCTCAGGGACTGTCCACAGAGGCTTGGGTGATGTTAAGGGGAAAGAGAGGGATGGAGGAAGAGAACGGATTGCTTGCTGCATGTATTTTCTGCATATTCAGATAATGACGTGAAGAACATCTACTCCAGCAGACATCAGAGTGGGTCCGCTGGAGCATGATTTCAGGGTCCTCAGCAGTCACAAGACTGTTTATGATTAGAAAATCAGCGGGCTTCTATGCCGCGCACCGCGCCCCAGTGTCTGCGCTCTGTGCGCTGGCACCCAGTTACCGAGCTTCGGGCAAGGGGCTGGAGGTTGAGAACTCAGACGCAGAGACAGACTGACACACGCAGCTCCAAAACGCTGGTTCAGAAAGCTCGTCTTTATTAACACCACGTAGAGTTAAATACACTGCAGTTAATGGTCAACAGGTGATCCTTTGATCCTCTAACTAGGCACAGCTTCTAGTAACTTATATTAGAAGGTTCTAGGAGGGAAGAGCAGCTGAAGGCCAGGACTCATTAATCCCAACACTTCTACAACTCCCTGGTCTTACACAGACCTACTTAGGCCAAATGCTGGGTCTAATCAGGATATACTTCTCAGTAAATGACCTTCTTTCTGCAGGTCAGCAAGTTCAAAGCATGGCTCACAGAACGTAAGACGAAGACTGGGCCACAAATGGGGGCACTACCGCCACTTACCCTTCTTTCAAGTGCATTTAGCCACTTCACAGTGGTACAGTCCCCGCTTTGCTTCTGACCCAGAGTCTCTATGAGCCCCATCATCATGTCTCGATTCAATTCTCCATGTGGCTTTCCTGAGGAGAAGCCTTCTGTGGAGGTGTGGAGGGGAGCAGGGCTGCTTATGTCTCCCAGACTGCCCCCCCCCCATCTCTTTTACTATAAACTCTTGTCGCAACAGGGGAGGACATTTTCTTCTTTCTGCTTCAGTCACCAGACACCTGGTTAAGCTTTAATGGTTAACTCTGTGATTTTTCTCTAGATGTCAGGGGGAATTTGAAAACGTGAGTTTGCAGTCACATACTAAGTGAATGCCATGGGAGCGGAGGAGTCCTCGGGCTCTCTGAAGTCACTGATTGTCACTGCCCACTCTTGCTATGCAATTTTCCAAAATAGATTCTAGTCTTTGAGGATGCCGCTCCTGCTTAGCATGCTCCAAATCTTGAGTCCCACAACAAAGGTGTGGGCTGTATCTTGTGTACAAACATAATGAATGAATTATGAAGTTCTAACAATTCTTTAGACAGATGGATGTCTTAGGGCAAAGGGGCTAAGCTGGAGACGCAAAAGAGAAGATAAATGCAGGCAAGTCAGAATGCTTCCATTGTAACGAGATGGGCAAGATGGCTCACTAGTAAGGACAGAGCAACCTCACTCATTGTTTGCTTCCCCAGGACAAGTGCTTCCCCTGCCCGAGTGGAGGATGCCCACAGATGGGCCACTACGCTGACAGATACTCTGGGAGAACAAGCGGAGTCGGCCGGACGTTCTACCTGAACACTGGCGATGCCAGTAATTTTGCTCGTATGTTTCTACTTTATTTCCCTTACACTCCAAGTACAAAGTATTTTCCCGTGTTCACTGATAATGGGTGAAACTGATTTCCATGTGGAAACTTTAAACATGGCTCCATGAAGGCATAAATCGCAAAATAGTCCCATACCAGTAGGGAATTATGATTAATAAAAGGGTTATTTATTTAAAGGGAAAACTTACAGATCACTGTCCTAGACAACAGCCCTCTGTAGCTGGAAGCAAAGCCCGAAGAGAGAGAGAGAGAGAGATAGAGAGAGAGAGAACACACACACACACACACACACACACACACACACACACACACACACGCACACACACACGCACGCACGCACGCACGCACGCACGCACGCGCGCGCTGCTTTTTAAAGCCAAAGAGACCACGCCCAAGTGGGCTGGTATCTTAAAGGCTATTGGCTGAAGGAGTGGAAGGAGCTCCCACTGTGGTCTGAGTAGCAAGGCCGAGAATACCACCTGGGCTTCTCACAAAACAAAAACAAACCACATTTTATCATGGAGCTGAACTCAGAAGGCTTCCTTGGCTCCATTCTCTTGTACTCAGGCATAGGTTTTGTTGAACAGAATTTTGAGATTTTGTACCAGAAGACAGTAGTCTCTAAGACAGCTGGGATAGTTCCGATTGGCAGAGCAGAGACGTGTTTAGGACAGTAGACCCATGGGAGCTGGCCATGGGGGTGTGGAATGGTGAGGTACAGGGACAGACTGGTTTCTTCTCTGTATGATGGAGGAAGACAATTACTTGGATGGGTGTGGGTGGGGTTAACATCCCTATGAAACTAAAGACAAAATGTATTCTTCCTCCAGTTTGACAGACTAACAGTTTATGACAGATTATTAGTACCAAGGCAACCTTCTTTTGATTCTCTAAATTGGTTTATTTCTAAGGCTAATGAAAAATACATTTATAGAATTTAAAAAAATAAATACAGATTGCTTAGAAACATGGCAGGACTCTAAAACTTGGTGAACAATAAAAATACAGCAAAATGACCCATTCTACTATTTTCTGATGCTTCTTAAGGGAGGGTTCTTAGAACATTGAACAACGAATTGCCACATTACGAAACTGAAAGACAAATATATTTCCTAGTCCTTTGACTTGCAAACTAAAGTATCTATGAACTTCAGAAGTTTCTACACAACTCCCTCTTATCAGGGTTAAGACTATGACATCAGTAAGTTTGCTAATACTGTGTGTAAAATTTCCAAAACTCTAATGCAGTAGGCTCTAAGGATCTAAATTAATCATTTATTATTAGTTATTAATTTATTAATTAATCTGGTTTCACTGTGTCTTTTCTCCAATTGATATTCTGTGACAATTTTGCTCCCAAAGGCTGGAGGTACCAGGTGACTGTCACCCTGTCTGGACAGAGAGTCACAGGACACATACTGGTCTCCCTGTTTGGAAATGGCGGGAACTCAAAGCAGTATGAGATTTTCAAGTGAGTAGAATATTATCTGCTCTTCTTCACTGTTACACTGCATATGAGTTTGGCTCTTCATAACCACACGGCGGTATCATCACATATAGCATGGAGGGAATACTTTTCATACTTACATCTTAACACATTTCAGAAGTCTACTCCTACCTATTTCTCTGCTCTATCTCTACAATCCCTTTTGCGTACTCTGATGCCTGATGCCTGAGTCATAAGTGGTAAGTAATTCTGTCCCTTGAAAAAAGCTGAGGCAAATGTGGTAAATGAATTATATCATAATATAATGTGATATATTGTGCAAAATCACATTTCCAGTTTGATGAAAGCTAGAGTGATTCTTGAAGTAATTGAAATTGTCAACAGCAAAAGCTATCATCTGGCATACACGTGTGAACATATTAAATACAGTAGAATGGCAAATGCCTATCACCAACTCAACCCAAGAAACAGTCTGAGCTGTTAGAAACTCATACATACGCAAACGCATCACACATGTGTTTATGTGCAAATGTATGCATGTGTTTCTTGTGCTGCGTATTATTGCTTTCACTTTCCTCACTCCCCAGGGGCTCTCTCCAATCTGGAAAGACTCTTACCAGTGAGATCGACTCTACCGTGGACGTCGGGGATGTGCAGAAGGTTAAATTTATTTGGTACAACAATGTGATCAACCCAACTCTACCCAAAGTGGGGGCATCGAGGATCACGGTGGAAAGAAATGATGGCAGAGTGTAAGCGATAAGAAACGGGCAGGGAAGGGTCACGGGGCATCCATCACTCTCTTCTTTGAGACTACATCGCCTACAGAGTCACATGCCCCAGACAGGTCTACTTCCTAAGACCTCGTGTGTCTTTAGGAGACAGTGTCAGATATTAGGAGTGCCACTTTGATAGACCAGGGAGAAGAATGTTTCCTTTACCACACAGGCTTAGACTATGTGTGACTCGTGTGTGTGTGTGTGTGTGTGTGTGTGTGTGTGTGTTGTCCTCTAAATTTCAAGGGTTTACCAAATTGTCACGTCAGTTGTTTGGGAACTCATTAATTTATTAAGGAATAGAAATATGCATCAGGCTCTCAAAGTTTCAGTCAGAGAGTTAAGGGTAAGAAGACAACTAGATTTCAAAGCGCAGCCTGCTAGAGAGGCATGAAGGGAGGATAGTCCAGGGGATTCTAGGCTATTCTAAAGACAGTTAATGCTAAGTAGGACACATACTTAACACACAAATACTTTTCAGAGATGAGAATGAAATCCTCTCCAAACTACCAGCGCTTAGACAATGCTTCAGCAGTAAGTCAGCACCACACAAAATGCTAGCAAACCTTCAAACACATTATTCTAGCAGGAAATGAATCTATAGAAAGGAATCGTGAATAACAAATAAAAAAGTAATTATTTCAAAAATACATGATATTTTAGACATTCTTAAAATCCCTTTTAAGCAATTGACTACTGAGAAATAATATTTTGGGGTTTATATGATAGCTTTATATGCTAGGTTTAAGTGAAAGATGGCAATAATCTTGGAGGGCCATCACCCCGTAGGCGAGCTACTATAGTATCATTTGGAGATTTACTATGATAAGTTAAAAAAAAGTGTGCTTTTAATTTTGAGGCAATAAGTAAATCAACAAATTGGGGGGAAAAGGAACTTGGTGTTTTGGAGTATGACATGAAAATGGGGAAAGGGAAGTAAAGACTGTAGAGCAATAGCAAACACGGAATGAAAATGCCATAACCACTTTGGAAGCCAAGTTGGCCAAGTCTTAAAAACCCAGGCTTACACCAATCTGCAATACAGCCACAGAACTCTTAGGTTCAATAACTTTCCTCACTCAAAAATATTAAACGGAAATTCCAGAGCTGAAAATACCTACAATTTAAATCGCATGCTCTTCTGAATAGTGTCACCAAAGCTCACACTGCCCCCACTTCATCCCAGTGCATGAGCCATCAGCTGTTCTGGGGTAGCCATGGGCATACACCACCCGTTCATGTAAGTCCCCGAGTAGCCCTCACGGCCATCAGATTGTCAGCTGTTCTGGGGTAGCCATGGGCATACACCACCCGTTCATGTAAGTCTCCGAGTAGCCCTCACGGCCATCAGATTGTCTGCTGTTCTGGGGTAGCCATGGGCATACACCACCCGTTCATGTAAGTCTCCGAGTAGCCCTCACGGCCATCAGATTGTCTGCTGTTCTGGGGTAGCCATGGGCATACACCACCCGTTCATGTAAGTCTCCGAGTAGCCCTCACGGCCATCAGATTGTCTGCTGTTCTGGGGTAGCCATGGGCATACACCACCCGTTCATGTTAGTCTCCGAGTAGCCCTCACGGCCATCAGATTGTCAGCTGTTCTGGGGTAGCCATGGGCATACACCACCCGTTCATGTAAGTCTCCGAGTAGCCCTCACGGCCATCAGATTGTCTGCTGTTCTGGGGTAGCCATGGGCATACACCACCCGTTCATGTAAGTCTCCGAGTAGCCCTCACGGCCATCAGATTATCAGCTGCATTACAGGCTGGGGCTCAAGTTTTTATTATTTTGTTTAATATCAGCTCCAGAACAGGGCAGTTATACTTTCATTACAGCACCATGTATCACTCAAATTACTTACTGTAATTATGTATGTATGAGGGAAACGTGTGTGTCATGGTGTATGTGCAGTTCAGAGGGTAACACACAGGATTCTGTTCTTTCCTTCTGCCGCATAGGTCCCAGTGCTCAAACTCAGGGGTTCAGATTTAGCAGCAAGTACCTTGACCCTGAGTCTTCTAACCTCTAAATTTACTTTTCATTATTTCTTAAATTTATTTTGATTTTCTGTGTCTGAGTGCTGTATGTGTATATGTGGACACCAGAAGAGGGTGTTGGATCTCGTGAAATAGGAATTAAAGATGGCTGTGAGCTTCCGTATGGGTGCTGGGGATCAAACCCTGGTCCCCTGCAAGAGTATCTGAGTGCTCTTTACTGCTGAACCATCTTGGCAGCCCTTCAAAAAAATAGTTTTTATTTCTAGGATATCCTCCCTGCCCCTCCACATGGTCTCTTTTCTCTCCCTAAAGAGTCCCCACTTCTCCTTTTCTAACACAGATTCCATTGGAGAAACATCTAAATTTAAATGTTCAGAATTTATTCTATATCAATCAGTGCTCAATAAAGCGATCATAATAAATGTGTCTGCCTTTGGGGTAATTCCCACAGTTACCCCCATTTTACAAATAACCGCACACAACTTCAATGCCAGAATTCACACGAAGTTTAACTGCAGCAATCTCATTAAACGTGACCAAATTACGACACTTCAGTATGTCTATATTTACTTACATAGAGATATTACGTAGCCTTCATTAATATTGGTTCTTAACCTTTATCCTGACATTTGCAAAGCTGCCAGACCATGGAGGGGGAGCAACATGAAGAGGGAAAAAGTGGGTTTTCTGAATACTTTCTAAAGGCCATGCACTTTACACATGCTAATATACTTTATTAGAGTAAATTAAACCCAAAGTGTCACAGGTATTGCTTACAGAGAAATTCAGTTATTGCAGTTCAATGTTGAATTAAAATAAGAACGGCGAGCTAGCATAAGATCTCATGGGCTTCCTGTAGGGCTCCTGCTGTGTGCTGTTCTCTGCTCTTGCTTAGTTGCTTTGGTTGACCGAGTGCTCAGTGTTTAACAGACTAGTTAACTATTTAATATATTTAAAGAGCTTTTCTTGCTCTTTAGGGCTCCAACGGTAGCATCTCCTTTTTTCTATTTGTACAACTGTAAAACAAGCTCGGATGGGAGGATTCTGTACTTCAAAGTCAGTGGCCAGCCTCAACTGTAGAGTGTGCACCTCGCTCAGACTCAAGGAGAGCTATAGGGGTCCCCACACCTGTCACGATGGCACCAGCTGTGTGCCAGGAAGAAGTGACTTCTTGGCGTTTTCTCTCCCCAGATTCAACTTCTGCAGTTCCAAAACCGTGAGGGAGGACGTCCTGCTCACCCTGGAGGCATGTTAAGAGCTTGCTGACGGGATCACTGCATCTGGCTGCTGATAAAATCCAGCAGCGAAGCAATCCATATGTCTCTTGTGTCTTTCGCTGTCAGTTCCCCTAAGCACAGGGACACCCTTTTAATGTGCTAGTTACAGTCCCACATCTTCAGCTGGTGTGAATGGTTACATTCTGATGCATACCGTGTGGCAGTCACACTTGGGAACATTACATACCTCTACAAAATCCTCAGACGGAAGTGGGTATCCTGTCTCTACAAGTCCTCAGACTGAATGCCTTGATCTCCTAACTCCTCCCTCCTTATATTCATCTCTCTGCCCAGCCATATCCCTTCCTGTCTCTACCTACCTAGTGCTGGGATTAAAGGCGTGTGACTCCTAAGGTCTGGGATTAAAGGTGTGAGCCACCACTGCCTGGCTCTGTTTCTCTTTTATATTGGATCTCAGTGTGGGTGTTGGGAACTGAGATCCCTATTCTCTGGGAGAGCAGCAAGTGCTCTGACCTGCTGAGTCATCCCTCCAGCCCAAGGTTAAACTTCTGTATTAATATTTCAATTAAAAATCTTTAAAATTATTAAGAATAAAAGTTCTGTGTGAGACTCTCAGATGAAGTCAGGGAAGAGGAATGGGCCCCATCCAAGGGCAAATTTTTCTGGGCCTTAAGGCAAATACATTGTTATTTTAACATAAAATATCTAAGCATGAGAGGAATATGAACTCTGGGTCACAGCCTTTACAGTTAAGGTTAACTGTGCTGGAATTCCTGACTCCAGGGTGAGGGGCTTCTTTCCTCCCATGTCCCACAATTCCCCCGTCTTCAATGCTGCTTCAATGTCCCCCTTTAGGACTTTGTTACAGAAGGCTGAACAATTTCCTTTTGTAATTTCTTTGATGCTGAACAGGAACATAGATCCTACTGATCAAAGGCAAGCACCTCAGACTAGTATCAGCTCTCTCATCAGCAACCCTAGGGTGAGGCAAGTGTAGAATCATACTTCTCAAGCCCTGAAAGTAAATAACTAGGGAGGAAAGTGTCTTTAAAAGCTGCTGGTGAAAAGTAAGAACAAACCAAACCCCCAAAGCAGCAGAAAATATAAAAATCAGGCCTTGCTTTTCCCACAGCTGCTGGGCCTCTCCCTGATAATGATAAACTAGACAGATTTCGATGGAGAAACAAACTCAGGCTATCATGTTGCTGTTACCGACTAAAACTTGGCTTTTTGCTGTTCCTTTCCTGGAAAAGAACTTGCCTTCCAGGGACGGCTCAGTAATCAGTACCTCTGCCTCACAGGAAGTGATTGAGTGTTTTCAGACAGGAAAGGCAACCGTTGACAGCTGATGCCAGTTGTGAAGGTCTAAGAAAATGATTTAAGGTATGGAAAAGCTTTGCTGTTTCATCAATGGAGTTCCCAAGAGTTGTTGTTTTAATCTGGCCTTGGTCACAGACACTGGGACACTAAAGCTTTTTTTAAAATATAATTACCATCATCACAGGCCCAAATTTCTCAACTTTCCTATGGTTGTTTTATAAACACAAACATGCTTCTCATTGCACCGAAACACCTCTGCCCAACACGTATCTATTCAGGCCTCTGTCCAAGAGGAAAGAACGTTCGCCTCTACCCTAAAACCATCTTCTGGGTCCTCAAGCTCCTCTTTCCGGCCAGAAACCAATGAATGTTCATTCTTCTTCATGTTGGTAACTTCTCTGGCTTCATTTGTGCTACGACTGAAAGGCACGAGCCTAGTCAGATTGCTTACACTCAGTGACTGTTCTTTCTACTATGATTTCGGTGCAGAATACAGACAGTGGTCATGCTAACACACCTAAACTTTTACTATGATTTCGGTGCAGAATACAGACAGTGGTCATGCTAACACACCTAAACTTTTACTATGATTTCGGTGCAGAATACAGACAGTGGTCATGCTAACACACCTAAACTTTTACTATGATTTCGGTGCAGAATACAGACAGTGGTCATGCTAACACACCTAAACTTTTACTATGATTTCGGTGCAGAATACAGACAGTGGTCATGCTAACACACCTAAACTTTTACTATGATTTCGGTGCAGAATACAGACAGTGGTCATGCTAACACACCTAAACTTTTACTATGATTTCGGTGCAGAATACAGACAGTGGTCATGCTAACACACCTAAACTTTTACTATGATTTCGGTGCAGAATACAGACAGTGGTCATGCTAACACACCTAAACTTTTACTATGATTTCGGTGCAGAATACAGACAGTGGTCATGCTAACACACCTAAACTTTTACTATGATTTCGGTGCAGAATACAGACAGTGGTCATGCTAACACACCTAAACTTTTACTATGATTTCGGTGCAGAATACAGACAGTGGTCATGCTAACACACCTAAACTTTTACTATGATTTCGGTGCAGAATACAGACAGTGGTCATGCTAACACACCTAAACTTTTATCTCTTCTGTCAGCACTTAAGGACTCATGCCTTCGAGCCATCTGTCCCCAGTCAAAGGCTCCTTCCTCCCTCCTCTTGTCTATGTTCTTTTTCTTCCCAACTTCCCAGGCAAAGAGACGGCCTGAGTGTTGCAGGAGAAGACCCCACCACCAAGATCCCCTTAGCTTTCCCTCCTGTCCCAGTGTATATCTGTCCCAGCAGATTCTCACTCGGTTGTCAGACACCATCCAGAAACAACTCCAGTCTTGTAGCTGCTCCAAATGGGCTCATCTCACTAATTCCAGTTGTTCCCACAAACCAGCCAGACAGGAGTTTGCTGAAAGTCAACGTGAGCTAGTCCAGCCAAGAAGAGGAGAACTGACCTGCAAACTACAGCCTCCAGAGGCCACCTCCAAGGTCCTTTGGTCTCCCATGGACTCCTGGGCTCCTACCTCTCTCAGCTGACTGACCTCTATCCTTCCCATGATATGTGATTGTTCCCTATCTATTCAGGTACTTTGAGAGGAAATTACCTATGACCAGTAAACCAGCTTCTAAGAGAGCTTTGTCAAGCCTGCTACCATAGCCAGCCTGCCTCACCCCCACCTCCCTCCCACCGCCACTTTGACTCACATTTTGGCCTTCCTGGTCTCCATGACCGTGTCCCTATCCATGAAGGGAGCTGTGAGACAGAAGAGTATGTCCTCCTAATCATCATCAAAAGGCTGGACTGTTCAGTCCAAAGGGAAAAACCCCAAGCACTCCAAAACAGGCAAGGCCATGGACTTGGTCCAAAATGGTGGTCTTGGCTCAATTCAAGTAGGACTATAGGATTGCTGGTGGAGAGACAATCTCGCTATTGCCTCTCCTGGGGAACCTGCTCCTCCCCTTCTCTTTGCTCTGGCAGAGGTAGCCCTGGCCATTGCCAGTCTGCCCCTTTCCTCTCTCCCCTGAGAGGTATCCACGTCAGCTTTGGACTTCCCCAAAGGCCTCTGGCTATTCTGCCTCTCCTGTCCATGATTAAAACCCTTCTTCTCACTGACAGATATGTTAACGGTGCTCTGCGTCCTTGCTTACACAAAATAGTAAAGAGCACCACAGCAATTAACGAAACTAAGACTAACAAAACAACAGTCGTAATTGAAGACAGGGTTTGATGACACTTTTCACGACACACTGTGCTAGCCAAGGACGTCAGACACCAGCAGTCACCAAAGCTGGACCTAGGACAACGGCTCCCGTGTCCATTGTCTCATGCCAATGAAAATTAGCGCTGTGGACAGTTGTGGGAGCAAGCAAAGCAGAAGCAAGCTATATTAAAAAGTATCCCAGAAAAGGGAAAATCTGAGGCAAGGTGAGGGTGGGGCTTTTGAGAGAAGAAAGGAACCATTGATCACTGTTGTCGAGGAGTTTATATGGCATTACAGAAACTGGATGAAAGCTGAGGTAATTGTGAGACTGGTTGTTTAACCTGTTGTTGGCCAAGCCAATGGGGGTCCCACACACCTTATGTATGTTCCTCTGCCCACCTCTGACTCCTGTGTTGTTAGTTGTTGGCCTGTGGGTTTGCTGTCTGTCACTTGTCAGATGGGTGTTCTACCCTCTCATCTCACAGGTGTCAATGCTAAGACCGCTTCATTAACACATTTATTATTATGTTAATTATTGACATTTATTGTCACGTGTCTAAGAAATAGATGCAACTGTTCCTTCCTAGTTAACTCCTTGTCTGTGGCACGGTCTGGGGTCTTAGCCCTAAAAGAGGAGGAGGCTTTCTTAGTGTTACCTGTCACAATTAGTTGAGTTAGAAGCAAGGACTATGCAAAAAAGCAATAGTGCACAGCACACCCTCGCGAGGAGAGGTCTCACACAGCACACCCTCGCCAGGAGAGGTCTCACACAGCACACCCTCGCCAGGAGGGGTCTCACACAGCACACCCTCGCCAGGAGGGGTCTCACACAGCACACCCTCGCCAGGAGGGGTCTCACACAGCACACCCTCGCCAGGAGGGGTCTCACACAGCACACCCTCGCCAGGAGGGGTCTCACACAGCACACCCTTGCCAGGAGGGGTCTCAGCACAGCACACCCTCGCCAGGAGGGGTCTCAGCACAGCACACCCTCGCCAGGAGGGGTCTCACACAGCACACCCTCGCCAGGAGGGGTCAAAGCACAGCACACCCTCGCCAGGAGGGGTCTCACACAGCACACCCTCGCCAGGAGGGGTCTCCCTCGCCAGGAGGGGTCTCACACAGCACACCCTCGCCAGGAGGGGTCTCCCTCGCCAGGAGGGGTCTCACACAGCACACCCTCACCAGGAGGGGTCTCCCTCGCCAGGAGGGGTCTCACACAGCACACCCTCGCCAGGAGGGGTCTCAGCACAGCACACCCTCGCCAGGAGGGGTCTCACACAGCACACCCTCGCCAGGAGGGGTCTCACACAGCACACCCTCGCCAGGAGGGGTCTCACACAGCACACCCTCGCCAGGAGGGGTCTCCCTCGCCAGGAGGGGTCTCACACAGCACACCCTCGCCAGGAGGGGTCTCCCTCGCCAGGAGGGGTCTCACACAGCACACCCTCGCCAGGAGGGGTCTCAGTACAGCACACCCTCGCCAGGAGGGGTCTCACACAACACACCCTCGCCAGGAGGGGTCTCACACAGCACACCCTCGCCAGGAGGGGTCTCAGCACAGCACACCCTCGCCAGGAGGGGTCTCACACAGCACACCCTCGCCAGGAGGGGTCTCCCTCGCCAGGAGGGGTCTCACACAGCACACCCTCGCCAGGAGGGGTCTCAGTACAGCACACCCTCGCCAGGAGGGGTCTCACACAACACACCCTCGCCAGGAGGGGTCTCACACAGCACACCCTCGCCAGGAGGGGTCTCACACAGCACACCCTCGCCAGGAGGGGACTCAGCACAGCACACCCTCACCAGGAGGGGTCTCAGCACAGCACACCCTCGCCA